TTTTCTATTCACAGAATTGGCCCATATTTCTATTGGGCTGCTTATTTTTCTTACTGATTTATAAAAGTTTGTTGTATTCTGGATATTTTAAGTCTGGTTCCTAGAAGCAGACCCTGATACAAGGAATCAGGTACAAGTGATTTATTAAAGGAGAGCTATTTAAGAAAAGATTTATCGGCCCGGCGCGGTGGCTCACGCCTGTAATCCTAGCTCTCTGGGAGGCCGAGGCGGGCGGATTGTTTGAGCTCAGGAGTTCGAAACCAGCCTGAGCAAGAGCGAGACCCCGTCTCTACTAAAAATAGAAAGAAATTAATCAGACAACTAAAAATACATAAAAAAAATTAGCCGGGCATGGTGGCGCATGCCTGTAGTCCCAGCTACTCGGGAGGCTGAGGCAGAAGGATTGCTTGAGCCCAGGAGTTTGAGGTTGCTGTGAGCTAGGATGACGCCACGGCACTCACTCTAGCCTGGGCAACACAGTGAGACTCTGTCTCAAAAAAAAAAAAAAAAAAAAAAAGATTTATCAAGGAAGTAGATATTCATAGGGGAAACTGGTAAGAGAGTGGGAGAAGCAAGAGCAGAAAGGGGAAGAAACAAAGCAAGAATGCGCTCTCAAGCCAAGTCCCGCAGAAGTCTGTCTCTCCCTGACCTCACAGGGGAACTCTGGAGGGTAAGTTACACACACCCCCAATCATTGGCTAGGGGTCTGCATTGGAGGATGTAGATTCCCAGGCATTTCTCTGCCTGTGTGGAGGCAAAGTGACTCTAGAAGTCCTTTTAACAGCCACAGGTGTTAACTGTTGGAAGCAAAAACATACTAGAGTGGGAGGTAGGGTGCACAAAAAAAGTCAAAAAGAATCTAAGGTGATCTGACTGAAGAACTGACATCATCCCCTAAAAGCAATAGTATATGAAAAAATAATTCAATTTCACTATTAATTCAAGAAATGCAATCTGTAAGAGTAAGGTACTTTCCACCTTACGCATTTGCAAAGATCTAAGCTCGATATCCAGCTCTAATTTAGCAGTGGTGAAAGAAGCTTTTACATACATTGTTGTTGGGGTATAAATTGGTACAGCCCTTTCTGGAAAAAAGATTTAGTAGAATCTATCAAAATTGACAATTACATATCTTGATGCAGTCATTCCTTTCCTAGGAATTTATCCTCTAGCCAAATTCACACAAAAGCAGACTGTCTGCTGCAACACTCTTTGTAGAGGCAGAAACTAAAAACAACCAGTAAGGGATGCCTAGAGAAAAGAATATTATTGGCTATTTAAAATGATGAGATATATGTATTGGCATGGAGAGATGCCTGTGGATGTTGGATATATTTGTTGCTTATTATGTGACCTTGTACAAGTTATGTAACATCTCTACACCTCAATTTCTTCATCCGTATAGTGAGGATAGTAATAGTATTGAAATGACAGGTCTGCTGTGCGGATTCAATTAGATGATACGTATCAAGTGTTTTGCATAGTGCCTGGCACATAGTAAACGCTCAATATTAGTAGTAACATTGTTAAAATGAAAGCGTTAAAACGGCATATATAATTTCTTTTTTCTTTAAAAAAAATCCAACTTATACTATAGGCAAAAATCTAACACACATTTTTTAAAAGTCTGAGATTTGGGGGACACAGAACTTTCACTTTTTACTTTACACGTGTGTTTATAATATTTTCAACAATGAGCACATATTACCTTAAAAGTGATGATGAAATATGGTTTTTAAAAAGATGCATGAGACTTAGACTCTGGAATGTTGGTAAGTTTCCAACATCATCTCTGTGTGTTGTTTAGCTGAATGATTCTGCTGAAGAGTACTCTCTCTCACTGATGCTTCTGTCGGGCGGGCAGGTATCACGACAGTGAGCTTCCGAGGACTCAACGGACAGAGAAATAAGCTGTCACAAACACAAACTCAGAGTGGGTGATGAGCTGTTGTTTTGGTTTTAGTTCTGATGACAAAAGATGCCACACCATATTTTTAATAAGAGGCAAGAATGAGAGTCCTGTAGTTCTGATGTCTCATCAAATCTGTGAGGGTGTTGGCAGGACAGTGTGAAATGAAAAAAAAAAAATACATACCTTTAAAAATCTCAGTGGGCTCCTTCAAATAAAGTGGAAACCAGAATTCTGTGGACATTTAGAATGCTGAAGGCCAGGCGTGTGAGCCAAAACATTGTTTGTCTACAGAATTTTCTCTCTTTCATTGTCTGCCAGAAGGGTTATATAAGCCTCTCTTCGGTACCACCCAAATCCCTCCGTAAAAGGAACACGGACAAATAATGAAAAGACAAAGGCTCCAAGTGGAAATTCAATTGTATTTATTTTCCTTATACAGAATCAGAGAAGTAAAAACCAGTACCAAACTCCAGGTAAAATGGTTTGATCTGATTGATCTGGCTGCATACTTTCTGTACGCACAACATTCTAAATTAAAAATAAACAGACATATTTCATGTTACAAAATGTAGAAGTAAATTTTTTTTAAAAAGTTAAAGTACTAGCACATAAATGATGTAGTGTGTTAGGGAAATGGTCTCCATCAATCTCCCATTTTCCCAATTAAATTAATCTAAAATTTACTTTTTTTAACAGCTTATTTTTTTTCATAAAAGTTGTACTTTCAGAATTTACTTTCTAATTATGTCATAAGAACACAACTTGCAACCCTTTTCTCACTCCAGATCATCGTCTTCTGCAGAGAGCTTTTCTGTCTGAGTTGGGGTCAACAGCACCGTTAGCACACTAAATGTTTTACCTGCTTCCCATATACTGCGCGATCAGTGAAAGGAATGGCATTTCACATCCTAAACACTCTGGTGAAACACTGTCTAGCAATTACTTAGATTTAACAGAATTACAATTACGTTTTGACAATGTATTTACTTCAAGAAAATGTATTTTATCAGGGAAAAAAACCACTTTGAAAGAAAGATCTCTGAAATTATTTTTCAATTTCACTTTTTAAAATGCCTTTTCTGTTGAAAAAATTTTTGGGGTGAAATGGTGAGATTTATTGATTGATTTAGGACTAAAAAGACCAGATATCCTGGCAGTTGTTTTATAATAAGAAATATAGTATAAATAGCACCTTATCATGAATTCTGCAGGGGTTTTAACACTTACAATAGTAGGAAATAGCCATTAAAAGGTTGCTCTAACTTTAGATTTCTAGCTTTAATGTTTTTTTAACAAAAGTTTTATTTTATGGCCTTAGAAACAACAACAAGAAAATTATATCTGGCTTTACCTATTAGTAAACACATAGTCGGGGGTCTATATTTTTTTCTGGAAAAATATTTATTATATTTATTAATAAATGTTCCAACTAATCTTGCTAAAAAATTCCTCTAGTATTTTCTAATGCCACAAGCTTACCAGAAAATTACCTCTAAAAATTGATAATATAAATCATCAATGATTTAACTACTTAAAAAAAGAGGGGTATCTGTTTCTTTTACATGTAGTAACCTGAAAATGAGTCTATAAAAATATTTTTAAAAAATACAGTAACACTGCTGAGTTTTGTTAGGTCCCTTGTTTTTTATTTTTCTTAGCAAGAATGTACAACTCTTTTTGCAGTTTTTTGCTAACAAAAGAGAAAAATAGTGCTCCCTTCAATTTAGTAGCAATAAAAACATCTACCCTCATCTCTCTCAGAGTGCATAGGGAGAGTGGAAGGAATTAGGGGAACATAAACCATGGGTCCTTCAGGAAAAAAAAAATCACTTCATAGTGTTGGAGGCAACAGCAGGTTTATGTTCTCATCTGCCTACATGCTCAGCATGAGTGTGGATGGGGCAGCACTGGCCCTGCCCTCCCCTTCCCGCATAAAGTGCACCAAAACCTTCTTTTCTCCTACCAGAGCCTTTTGGTATAAAGGTTGTAGTAGAAAATTGTTGCTTTGTTCTTTTGGGGCACCTCTCACATCTTCTGCTTGTCTTGCTTTTGGGATACTATGTACTAGTCTATTTCCACTTCACAACTAGTATTCTTTCCACTATATTCCATAACTTTACTACTTCATCTCTGACCTTTTCACTTGCCTTCTTTCCAACATGATCAAATGTATTCTGTGCATCTATATTCCAATAGACCAAAGGGAATCTTATTTAAGATCCTCAACCAATAAGCCCCCCATGGAAATTGAAAGTTTTCTCTCAGAGACCTGAATTATTAATGTCTTTCAAAAAAGAGATTAAATTCATAGATTATAAATAATATCAGTTCAAAATATTAAAACAGTTGAGGACTTCATTGGCAATGCACACAGACTGCATGCCAGGTGAACATGATGCTCTCTCAGTCCTCAGAAGCTAATAAAAAAATGTTTTTGGTTACATAAGAGGTATTGAATACATATTTCATGCCTTTTAATACCAACTGTAGCAATCAGGGTTAGGATAACATAGGACTCAATTTTACTGAATTCAGAAACATATGTCTCCACCACACGCCCTCAGAGGGCATTTTTTTACACGTCAGTCAGAGATCTGCTTCATCCTGCAAACAGTTTCATAGATAGAATTGTTTTAAACACTTGAGATCTTGAAAGCAAAACTGACAAGGCTTCAGAATTTTAAAAGCAACAGCTTACTGTGTGTGCCATCAGGTTGAAATCTCTGTTGTCCTGATATTTTCAGAATAGTTTCAAAAAACAAAAAACAGTTGCCACTGATTTGTCAAAAACATTGGCTGCCCTTTGGCATCAGTTACAAAATTACAGTGCTTTATAAAATAAACGTCAAATTCCAAGCTGCAATTTTTAACGCCAAGTTGCAATTTTTAAAAAGTTTTGTTTGAACAAAATGCTCATAATTAGTACCAAACGGGTCTCTTTCACAAGATCTGTAGTGTGAAAACCGTGACTAATGCTGGAAAGACTAAGTTGTCTAGATGCTATGCAGTAAAATGATGAAGGATAAACTACAATAGGACTGTGTGTGCCTTTGCCTATAAGGAGTAATAAGAGCCATTGCAGCCAGCATGGATTCAAAAGTACATCGTATTCCATACAGCAGAAATTTACTATCCATAAAATGATTTTTAAAGCTCAAGTTAAATAGTTTTTAAAGCATTTTGTACTACTGTCATCAATACAGTTTTGGAGACTGTAAATCAGGTCTAATTTTGTACACATTTCCTGGACCAAGCCACCTGTCAGAATTCACTGCCTGTGATCAACTTTTTATGGTTTATAATCAATTGATGTGTAAATTTCAACTTAACACCCATAAAGCTTGCCATGGGGCAGCAGAGAAAAAAGAGAAAAGTATTCTGTATAATCAATTCTGCAGGCATAATTCTGCATATTCTGTCACAAGAATGCAGGCTTGCAGAAAATGAAAATAGAATATTTATTTACGTTTAAACTTAACTTACTGTCAATCCAAACAGGCAATGATTGAACTGGCAACATGAGAAGGAGGGAGCACGAGTCATGGAGGCAGAAAGGGGTGCACCCGCAGACTTGCTCTGCTCGACCGCTTTTCCCAAGAGGCCCAGGAAATGTAAGCTCGTGGCTGAATCCACGTTACGATGGCAATGGTTACAGCCAGGTTAGAAAGGGCTCGCTTTTGTTCAGAGCAGACTCGACATCATTGAAGAGGGGTATCAGATCTTCAGATTCCAAAGTTCCTAGGTCAACGTTTGTTCCCGGAAGACAGTCAAGGAAATCAGGGAAACGGGTCTGCTGGGGATTGATGTTCATGGGTGTTTGTCCTGCATTTTCTCCTACAACAAAATGAAAAGAAATCATTTTAATTCCGTTTAAGCTCTTGAAAGGGGGACAGTTCAAGTGTTAACGAACCCCTGATCTTCATGTGTTCAGCTACTACATTACTGACCCTCACGCAGAAGAGGTGCAGAGATGCCAGGGGAGTCCTAAATTGCTTCTGCGTAAACACGGTCGAGGGAGACGAGAAGGAGCGTGCAAAAGGCACTGTGGTCCTGACCTAAGGTCTGCGCCTTCCCACGACAGAGGCATGAAGAGCTGCTTTTCAAAAGAGAGGCCCTGCCTGTCATAAACACCTAATTACAGAGCTATAATCTATAGATTTCACTGATGCCTATCATCCTTCTTTATGCTCAAATATAGTAGTGGGGAGTTTCTTTTAAACATGTTATTAAAAGCTGTCTTCATTAACGGCTTTAGACATCATTTATAAAGTGGGTCCTCCCAGCTAAAGCACAAGCACCTTAGTCACCACTCCCCTCCCCTGCCCTCCTGGCCTGACGCCCCACTCCAGTGTTGATCCCAAAGCACAAAAAATCCTGGTCTCTTGGCAAGCAGTGGGCCCGGCAGGGGCTAAAGTGGGGGTTGGGGGGCCTTCAGCCACACACCTGAAAGGAACCAGGAGATCCCAGGTGCTCCCCTCCTTCCAGGCCTTAGTTTGCAGGAGGGGGGGAGGACACAGATCTCAGGGACTGGGGGGTCTTCTCCCTCCCCATCCTCTTGTCCTGGGCAGGCCCCCACCCATCCCTCCCTGCTCCTCTTCCTCCAGTGGGGCCTGCCCCTGTAGCTCCTCCGATCCCCTGCGGCACTGGCTTGGGGGCAGAGTACACTTGTTTCAGGGACCCCAGGAGGTGCTCCTGGCTCCTGGGACTGTGTGTGGGTCTAGGGAGAGGGGGGTTGGGGATGGGGAGAGTGGCCAGGCTGGGGGTGCAGGGGAGGAAACTCCTCACCAGGAGATCCAAAGGTAGGGTTGTGTCTTAGCCTAGGAGCTCCCCAGCCCCACTCCCGCCCCACACACCCCTTGCCCTGCTATTCCCCCGACCCCCAGGCCCCCAAGTGAGATTGCACATTAACTACTGTAAGGAGAGGAGCAGTGTTGGCAACTGTGAACCATGAGAATATTAGTGATACTGATGAGGAGAATAAACTAAATGCCTTCAAAACAGAAAAAATAATAATAATGATAATAAATAAATAAAAATAAAAGAAGGAGGGTCCTTCCCCCTCCTTCTACAGTATGTACAGTCCACAACTATCTACCTTTCTCACAAGCATACGAGTCACAATGCATATTAAGGTTTTAAGTCTTGCAGTAAAGAAATCTGTTTTATTTTGTTTAAGGCACTATTTCCTAAGCCATTTAATCACCTAATCCTATTTTGGCAGAATATGTATCCTAATAGAACTGGAGATCTGCAGAACACAGTTGATAAAATGCTGTACTAGAGGAAAGTTAAGCATCTGGAATATGATATAAAGAATATATGTTCTTTATGTGCAGTCGTATGAGAGAAAATGAACCACTGACTTTTATGTGTCATTCAACTGAGCTTTTTAGCTGTGTAACCTTAGAGACACTTGTCTGACTCTCCATTTGCCCATTAGGAAACTGGGATTATAGTACCCTCTTCACAAATTGGAGTAAAGTGCCATATAGTGTCTGCCATACATCCATGGCTCTAGGTATTGTCCACATATATAAAAATATAATAAATGTCTCGATTGTGCTGAGAGGTTAAAAAAAACCCTAGGAACTCAACCACTATTAATTACACAATTATCTAGTTCTCTACAAAGTTCACAGAAAAATTCAACCTAAGTGTCCATCAACAGAGGATTAGATTAAAAAATGTGATCTCTATGGGCAATGGAATACCATTCGGCCATCAAAAAGAATGAACTCATGCCTTTTGCAGCAACATGGATGGAACTGGAGGCCATTATCTTAAGTGAAATAACTCAAACACAGAAAGACAAATGCAGCATGTTCTCAGTTATAAGTGGGAGCTAAATACTATGCACACACATGGCAGCAGAGTGTGGAATAATGGACAATGGAGACTCAGGGGTGGGGGCTGGGTGGGGAGTGGATGACAGGAGGTTGCTTGGTGGGCACAATGTTCATTGCTTCAGCGATGGATGCACTAAAGGCCTTGACTTCACCACAATAAAATGCAATATATCAACGTAGCAAAATGGCACTGGTACTCCATGAATATATTCAAATAAAAAAAATTTAATACTCAATATCAAAACAACTGGTTAATTCAAACAGCCTCAAACAAACAATTTTCTGAAGGGATAAAATCTACCTCAAAGACTGAGAAGCATTGATAACTACAGCCAGCTTCCACCGTAATATCATTTTTAATGAAACTTATTATATTAGCTTTTGTGTCTTACAAGTGCAGTAGCCCTCCTGAAAAGCGTGCGCAGAAGTTTCACTGTTCTGAGCAAAACTGCAGAAAATTCATTTTAACCATCTGTGTTTTCCAAAGAGAAAAAGTGATGAAGAAAACATAATCAAACTTGCATTTTGGTGATGGCAAAGCATGATGGCTTTTCTAGAAGTCATAAAATCTCAAAGACTCTTGGGCAATATTTTATAGAGTTTTCATTGCAAAGGGCAATAATTTGAAAAATAAAACCAAGTTCAACAACATGACCTCAATATAGTGTCACCGATATTGAAAAACATCAAAATAGAAAAGAAAATCCAAAATAACATTTTTCTACCTCTTAAATAGAGTTTAACAGATGAAAATGAGGCTTTAAAAATTATGTCTTAAAAACTACACAATATAAAGTTCTAGACTTTTTTTTTTTCCATCTTCAGTTAGAGTCATCCATCTCAATGATTTTAACTTTCTGATACTCAAGAATACATTTTTTAGCCAAACAAAATCTCTCTTTTAAAGAATTCCTCTTCTCTCTTCTCCTCAGGCATGGAAAGCATGAGGAGACTAGCTAAACTTCTTCATTAAGGTTAACAATCTTAAAATATCTCTTTGGAGCAGCTCTGCAATCTCAGAGTAATCTTTCTGGTCTTTGCAGTTTTATCCACTTAAAAAGTGGGAGAGACAAAAACCAGGCAATTCTTCAAAGGGTGTGATCATTGCAGAATATTCTGGAAGGATGGATGACTTCCCAGTCTTTGCTCATGCTATTCTCTTTACTCTCTCCTCTAAGCAAGTCCAGCTGCTGTTCCCATGTGTGCTTTGCAAAGGGAGCGCTCGGCCGGCTCCCGGCCATTCGGCTTGTGGTCGGCGTGTGGTCAGCAAGCCTAACAGATCTTTTCTAGCCACACTGAGCTCCATCCACCTTCCAGCTTCTCCTTGTCCTGTTGCTGTATAATTACATTTCTCCCCTTGAGAGAGTTTATGCCCACTTCCTATAAAGTCTTCACAGAGATGACCCCAAACGTGATGAGCTGACGCTCACTTAACCAGGCTAACTTGGCACCCTAACATTTATCAATCCAATTTGTGCCTAACATCAGCCACCTTAGAAGGAGGAGAAGAGAACTTTGTGTCGGGCTCTGTGATATCATGACTCGTCACAATTCTATGATGTGAGCATATTACTCCCACTTTATGGATGAGAAATCCGAGGCCCACAGAGGTCACATAACTTGCCCAAAGTCACTGCCAAGAGTGGAGAAGCAACGATTCCACTCAGGCTGTCTGTCTGCAAAGACTATGTTCTTTTCAGGACACCACTTAATTCCAAAGTATGGCTTCCAAAAACACTCCCTATTTACTCACTTGAGGTCATTTGAAAAAGAGGTCATTTGAAAAAGATGTAGGAATAAAATCCATGCTTTTTTTTTTTTTTAATGTCAAGCTTAGATTTATTTAGCTCTCCTGAGGTTTTTTCTTGTTTAACTTTGCTTTTTATCCTTACTGGCTTCCCAGTGTTTAAAAGATGAAAGTAAACAATTGTTAAACATAGGAAGGAGCCACTTCATAAGGCTGTTCCAAAGAGAGCAAAATAAATCTCACACCAAAAACTAAAGATGAAAGGGGGAGGAGGTTTGGGGAGAACACTGAAGCAATAAATTGAAGAACAGCAAAACAAACTGCTTGAACTATTCTTGTGTGACTCCTCACAAGACAGTCTGTGCAATCCTCTCGAAGCAAAGATGACGGCCTAAAACAAGACCCCGGAGGAGCCACTCCAACCCACTGCACTTGTAAGCCGCCCGGCCACGAGTCTGACTCTTGGTCCTACCAACAATTTGGATTCCCAGCACGAATAGGAGTCATTTAGGAGCAGGGAGTCCATGGGCACTATGGACAAATGTTTTGAGAAAAGCCTTTTTTTTTTTTCATTTTTATTTTTGAGACAGGGTCTTGCTCTACTGCTCGAGCTAAAGTGCAGTGGTGTCATCATAGCTCACTGCAACCTCAAACTCCTGGGCTAGAGTGATCCTCCTCCTCATCCTCCTGAGTAGCTGGGTCTACATTACCACCATGCCTGGCTAATTTTTCTATTTTTGGTAGATATAGGGGTCTTGTTCTTGCTCAGTCTGGTCTTGAACTCCTGGCCTCAAGTGATTCTCCTGCCTTGGCCTCCCAAAGTGCCAGCATGAGCCACTGTGCCCAGTCATAAAGCAATTTTGTATTTTCATCACAGAACAGTAACTCTTTTATTGTCAGTGATGATGGAGGAGAAACTTACCTGACTAACTCCAAACAGTGGACACCTCAGCTGTCATTTATTTTTAGCTCTAGAATAACTTCTGGGAATTTATGACTCTCATAATTAAGTCTAGATAAGGCTAATAAGATTAAATTCAGTTTTTGCAATTGGAGGTCTCACTCCTTGAGAGCAGGAGAAAAAGAGAAATAATGAGGGAAGTATGCTGAGGCCTGGCCTGAAGGATGCACAGGCTGGGGACTAGGTAAAGGTCTCTCTGACTCTCCTTTTAATTGGTGAGGGAGGACATTGTTACCGTGATGGGACTTGGAGCTAACAATTTAGAATCTTCGGAGTTCCTCAACTTTCCAAACGCCCACTGCCAACTGCTTCCCAAATACAACGAATGATATGAAAATATTTGCATGCTGGTGAAACTATAAACCACCATCACTTCCCAGGAGAAAAAGTGGCCCATACATTACAACTGAAAACTAGAAGAGTGCAAATACCCCACGGCAGAAGAGTGGCAAAGCAGACAGTGGTATCTTCATGTAGTTGTGAGGAAAGGGCTATATGAAGCAAGAACGAGTAAAAAAACAAAAACAGAACTTAAAATCCTGTGCCCAGATGTAAAACTGTATTTTTATACTCTATGGGCAACGGGCTGGAGTTTACTAATAGTGCCTGGGGGTTGGGTGGCTTTTAAGTCGTCATTTTATGTTGTCGCCGAGATTGTTTCTGATTGGATTGCAAAATTGAGATGACCGAAGAGACAATTTAAAAATGTAAACTTGCCAGTACTTGCAGGCTTTGCTCCTACCTGTGTCCATCTCATCCACGTTGCTGAGGAAGTCCTCTGGAGTTGTGGGGACACTGTAGCACCCTAACCCCAGGCCACTGTCAGTGCTCTGCTCCCTCGAATGATATGGTCCTCTGTAGAGCAAAAGGTGGAGAAACTTTGATGTGAGCCCACTAAATGCTTTCAAAATTAAAATACAGTCACAAAATTCTGAACTAATGCCGTTCTGTCATTCTGCTCAACTTTCTAGGTAACGAAAGGAAGCAGATTCCGTGCCTCCCTTTAATTTTGAAAAGTACATCCTAATGTCAATAAACTGCAAGCAAATAAAACTGACCATTTACAGGAAATTCACACTGATTTCCTTTCCATCTCAAATAACCACTTGGACACTTCTACATATAAAGTATGATACCATTTATGTAACATTTTAAAAGGCAGAAAACAACGTTGAATAGTGCTTATGGATACACACACTAACAGGAAGTAAGAAGTATAAAAATCTCCCTCCTGCCCATTGGTTGATTTCCACTGAGTTTTATGTCCCTCTGTACACATGTGTGCTCATCGGTTGGCTCCAATTTAATAGTGAGTCCATGTGGTGTTTGTTTCTCCATTCCTGAGATACTTCACTTAGGAGAATGGTCTCCAGTTCCATCCAGATTGTTGCAAAAGCACTATTTGGGTGATGGGTACACCTATAGCCAGGACTCAAGTATTACAAAAGCGATCCTTGTAACCTAAAACATTTGTACCCCCTTAATATTTTGAAATAAAAAAAAGAAGAAGTATAAAAATCTGTCATGGACACACATCAGTTTCTCAATAGTGGCTACTACTGGGGACAGAAGGGAAAAGAAATGAGATTTCAGTGGTGGCAGGGATGGGTTCAAATACTAGTTGTAATATTTTATTTATTAAAAAAATAAGATCAGATGGAGATATGGCAAATCTGGGTCACCACCTAGAGTTACAGGAATAACTCTTACATTATTCTCTTTTTTTTTTTTTTGAGACAGAGTCTCACTGTGTTGCCCGGGCTAGAGTGAGTGCTGTGGCGTTAGCCTAGCTCACAGCAACCTCAAACTCCTGGGCTCAAGTGATCCTTCTGCCTCAGCCTCCGGAGTAGCTGGGACTACAGGCATGTGCCGTCATGCCCGGCTAATTTTTTTTATGTATTTTTAGTTGTCCGATTAATTTCTTTCCATTTTTAGTAGAGACGGGGGTCTCGCTCTTGCTCAGGCTGGTTTTGAACTCCTGAGCTCAAACAATGCGCCCGCCTCGGCCTCCCAGAGTGCTAGGATTACAGGCGTGAGCCACCGCGCCTGGCCTTATATTATTCTTTATACTTTTCCGTATTTCAAATACAGACTTAAAATCCACAACTTAAAAACTCATTATTTCTGATACTGTTTGTTTTCATTTCTCTATATCTTTAAGTGTATTTGTTTGCTTGCCAGAAGCCTCTGCAAGGGCAGAAAAAACATAGGAAATAGAGCATTGCCCTTTATTAAAAAGCTACAATTATGGTTGACTACTTCGACTCATGAAGATATTTCGGCTCATTTCTCTTTCCCTTCTACTCCTTACGTTTTTTTTTTTAATATCATCTCTTTGTTTTAATTAATTTTTTAATTGTGAAATAATTTTAGACTCAGAAGATTTAAAGAGAGTACAGATTTCTATGTACCCTTCACTCAGCTTTCCCAATGATAATATCTTACATAAAAGCCATAGTGCAATTACCATAACCAGGAAATTGTAGAATAACTATTAACTGAAAACTATAGACTTCATTCACTCTTCACCATAAACGTCATCTCTTAATTGCTTTGTTCTCGATTTGCCACATGACATGCTTTTATTCCCCTCCTGTTGGCTACAGAAAACCACAAGATTCTTCTAAGTATAATTACTAGACAATTCCATTTTATTCAGGTTATAAGCTCATCCTTATTTTCAAATTATTGACTAGAGGTTTACTCCATGTCATTTCACCAATTTTTAAATTTGAGAATTTTTAAAAAGGCAGATGACTTTCTCTGCTTTTCTTTTTTTCTGCCGAATCCTCCCCTCTTCCTCCCTCTACCCTCACCCTCACCTCTCAATCTCCCCAACTTTTCCGGATGTAAACAAAGACCCCATTCTAGTCTAGACCACATAATAAAGAGAGCAAAAATAAGTGGTCCCCAAATATTAACTCACCCATTGAGGAAAGGATCTGAGCTGTTATTAGTGATGGATCTCATGTCTGGGGTCATGGTGGGCGGGTTGACAGCAGCTTGAACCGGGGCCAGAGTCTCGGCTTCCATGGGGAGCTGTCGACAGAGGGCAGCTTCCTGCAGAAGTAGACAGCCAGAAGGGGAGGCTAGAGTCACTCGCTCATTGTCACAAGGCTGGGAATGAAGTATATATGTACTTCACATGAAAACTTTTCACCAAATACAAAGCACTTTGTATCTATTCTCAGTAAGTTAAAATCATGAGGAAATCGTTAGTGTTCTTTCTTGGAAGAAAGCATACAGACATAAGTCACTTTCTCACATTTACAAAGTTAATGAGAAACCCAACTATTATTTGACCTCAGGGCACTTAACGTTGCAACCCTCCCACTCATGCAATTGTTTAAATGCCCAAATCATATAAAGATCTCTTGAGACACTTTCTCAGAGACAAGGCTATTTCTATTTCTATCCCAGGTTCTCAGACCAAATCTAAATCAACCAAAGTAGTCAGACTCTGGACTAGCAGGTACATTCTGGTCTTTGCCACTTACAGGCCCGGAAAGCTATGGGATTACAGAGTTCAGGCTCTACACTAAATTACATCTGGCAGTTTTATGTCAACAGCCCGGAGAGCAAAATAACCAGTTTAAAAATTTGTTTTAAAAAAGACAATCAGTTTTTCTATTTGACTACTTTGTTGACTTGACTACAACACAGAACCATGTAGATTCAATTCAAACCCCATAGACAAGTAACTCTTTAAAAGCATATGGATTTCATTAGCAAAAATATAATGCAAGCATTTTTTTTAGGTTAGCATTACTTTGCCAAGGAGAGTCAATCCAAAAGGTTACAAATTTATTGACTGCAATTGCTTTCTCTGGGTCTAACCTCTAAAAGTCTCTTCCATTTTGACTAAACATGACCAGACATCAAATTCCTCTCAAATTTGCAGCCGTTTATACCTGCATCCAAAACCAAGATCGGGCCCTCTCCCATATTTATGCCTATCCATTTCCCACTTTCCATGCTGAAGTTGTTGGTCTCACCATCCCTCAAACCCCAAAACCATGGCTACAATGGCAAACAGAACATTTAGGCCATCTAAGTAACAGTATCTTTGTTAGATCTCTTCCAGCCCTAACATGCTATGACTTTAGGGAGTAACTGCTGTCTAGACAAGTCCCAGTGAAGTCATCGGCTATAAAAACTTTAGGTTACTAGAGTTCATTGTGCTGTTATTGAGAGTCATAGTAGCATGATTCTTACAAACTGTGAGAGACCTGATTGATAAGAAAATACATTGTTAACTTATACTGAAATAAATATTCTAGCTAGAAAGGGCTGTTCATATAGATTGCAAGTAATCAGAACACTTGATACATTTTATTCAGTAATCCTCAAAAAGCAAACCAAAAAACGGAGATCATTTTAAAAGGTGATTTTCATCTATCCATCATCCAATTCTTGGAAGTACCTTCTGAATAAATCTAGAAAAACTGAATTATTTACCAGTAGCTGCTTTTACACGGCAGGCAGTGTGCATTAGAAACCTTATTATCTGACAAAAGCTTTCCTGAAAGGCTCAGATAGAAGAACATCAGGAACTGAATCTGGCATAAGGAGCCTAGAACCCCCCAGTCTCAATCCCTCATGCGCACTCATATACCCTGAACAACAGATTGAAGACACCTGATCGATGATATAATTTCTAGTTCTTTATAAACTATAAATGCAAGGATCCTTTGATAATTTTCATTATCCAAAAAATCAACTTTACTTAGAATATTCCATTCTTCAACCATTCTCAACAAATGTGGGGGCTTACCTCTAAACAGATACCCCTTTTAAACATAAAAGTTGATGAGATGGCTGCATTCCTTTATATCTGACAAAATTTTGACAAAATTTTATCACCATGTCTTAATAATACAGGTTGAACTTGCAATTTCCAGGAGGTCTGAATTTATATAAGAATCATTTCTGGAACTTTATAAAAAATGTATTATATACATAATGTATACGAATTATTTGTCATCTGTAATGACACAATGTGACAATAAAATTTAAATTATAAGAACAAATATCAGAAACTAGATACAAAATATATAGTTCTAAACTTTCCTCTTCATTTAAGTTACTCCTAACATATTTTCATTAGATATAAACATAAAATAATGTATGTGTGGCTAAATATATAAATAAAATGTAAAAGGACTATTTATAATAACCAAAGCTGGAAGAACCTGTACTACATTGGGGAAGTGTTTCACTGTGCCATTACACGTTTGTTCCCTCTATTTCAAATTAAAGAGAACAGAAGTTCTATTCTTCAGCATCAATGTTGTTTCCCAACCAAGTCATCACAGGAGCAAATGCTACATTCTGTCTGTAGGGGGCTCACGGTATCATTTTCCACCTTCCACTGACTAACAAATGAGAGAGAGTACAGAAAGGGCGTTGAATGTCCCTGAATAACAACTTTGAATTATAAATTAGGCTAGTCTGAGTTAGAAAGTTATTACTTATAAGTGCAACATTTTCTCTAAGATCATTCCAAGATCATTCTTGGGTCACAAGTCACCCAACACAGCAGCCAAAATGAAGATCACAAGGCCCCCTGCTCTAAACCTACCTGCTTCCTGTCTCACCGGCATGGCGACTGGAGGCAGGCCCTCACTGTAGCCCACCATGCCCTGTGTGACAGCCCTGCCCACCCCTCCTCCCTTGTCTCTGACCTGCTCCCCTCACTCCCTCTCTGCTGCTCCTCCCGCCTCCAGCATCTGCACCAACAGTCCCTCTGCTTGCTCGCACTCCTCAGCTCGTCCCAAGCTCATTCCCTCACTGCCTGTCTCCTGCAAATGTCATCTCTTCAGAGATGCTCCTCCTGACCCTGTTCTAAAATACCCTCATTCTTGACCTATATGAATTTCCTTCAAAGCAACTTAGGTATTTATTCTCCATCTTTCCTACTGGAATATAAGCTCCATGAGGGAAGGGACCTTATTTATCATGTTCATTGCTATATCCCTACTACCTTAACAGTGCAAGGCATATAATAGGGATTCAATAAATATTTGTTCAATGAATAAATGAGAAATTTTACTGGAATTCAAATGGAAATATTTTAAATTGTGATTAGCAATAAAAGAAAAAAACTAAGAACCTTCACTCTCACCTTCAAATATGAGTGAAATAACAGCCTACTGTTTACATTTCAACTAGTCAGGTACAAGCTCCATCCTCAGGGAATAGTCCCACTGCACACTTCCCTGCTCCTAACAGGATGAGCAGAAGGCAGAGTAGTCAGAAGCAATAACTGTGGGGCCAGATGCTTAGATCTGAACCCTGGCCTGCAAGTTATTTAACCTCTCTGTTTCTCATTTGTAAAGTGGGGGCTAATAAGAACACCCACCCAAGAGGGCTGCTGTGATGATAAAGTGAGGTAATATATATAAGGTGCTTAGAACAGTAACTAGAACTTGAGATCTCACAATAAATGTGAACTAATTATTATTATTATCTCATGTTCTGTATTCCAATCTCAAAAAACAAAAGCAAAACCAAAAATAAATGATTTTAAAAGTCACACGATTCTGTGGAACTGATCCATTTTGAGTGGTAAGACACTTGTTCCTGGTCAACTTTCACCTTGGAGGGATTAAACCAAAGTGTGAAAGTCATCAAGATGGTCACCAAGGCTAAGAAAACAATTGTTTTTAAAACAAGGAGAGCTTTGTAAGCCTTTCTGTATAACATAAAATTAGTTTTGAATATAAATGAAGAATGGTGAGAAGTTTCATTTCACTTAAATTTTAGAATGTAATAGTTCTCTATCTAGAACTTTAAAAATTCTAGCCTTTTTTTGAATGAAAATATTTCCCTGTTCCGGCTCATGAATTGAAAGAGAAAAAAAAAAGTGCAAAAGCCAAGGTTTGAAAATAAAAGGGCTAACCTCACTGACATGTCTGCATCCAAACAGGGGAGGGTTTTGTTTTAAACTAAATTTAGCTATAAAATTAAAGCCCAAACCCAGGATGATTTTGACTGCCAACTGACCCCCACTGCCCTCGCACAGGCAGAAATGACAGGCAAACACCTGACTTAGCCCAAGAAGCAGCAGTCAGAACTGATGGAACTAAAATAGGTAAAGCAAAGGCAAAAGATGGGCACTGGACAAAGTGAACGGCCACGGACACAGAGGGGTGACCGCTGGCCACGGCTGGTCTGGGGTTATGATTCGGGCCTCCCACTCTCGCTGCCCTGCCCCAGCACCCAGTCCTCCGCTCCCTCTAGCCTGGGCAGAATGAGAACACTAGGCTCGCTTGTTGCTCATGTCCCACGGCACTGCAGGTAAACAGGTCTATTCACAGATGTCCCCTCCACCTCCACCCGCCCTGTCCTCCAAAACAAGCCTCCAGTTTCCTAGACTCCTTAGCACCATGAGTCCCTGTCCTTGGAACCATCCTTAGAGGTTCCGTTACACCACCTCCTCCGGGATGCCCTCCTGACCACCACAACCATAGCAAATTACTCCCTCCCTTGCTCCCAGCCCCTGGATGCCTGAATGAATGTGTCCAGCTGGTGTCTGAAACTCCACATGTCCCACACTGGGCTCCTCAACTGGGCCAAAGCAGCTCCTTCTCCTAACCTCAAGCTTTTCCTTACACCACCACCATCCAAGTTCAATATCCAAGTCAATTATGTCTCCCTCGGTCCCTACAACAATTTATTCATTTGTGCCAGTCTTTATTTTTTTAAAAATACTACTGAGACGACCAGGCACCAGGTACTGTTGTTGGAACAGTATTCCTGCAGCAGGAATACAGCAACTTGACAACATAGAAAGTGCCTTGTCCTCATGGAGGATTCTAGAGGGGGAGAGAGACCATAACAAACCATAATGGACAAGGGCCAGCCCTTGTGGATTCCATCTCCCCAGTATCTCCAAGCTGGAAACCTGCTTTCCGTCTCAAGTAGCAGGTCATCATTGCTTCTCCAGGTATTCCACCTGACCTCTCTTCCTCCACTCAACCTTCACACACAAGGCTGTGGCCAGGTCTCTGTTTGACATTTTACCAAAGTCTTTACAAAGAGTGGCCAGAGGAGAACAT